CAAATATAAAGTATTAAAACATCCATGAGCAAAACCCAAAAACCCATGAGGTTGTCTTTTTTGCTCTGTGTTTGTGGAGTGGGGTACTGGTCCATGACTGAGACTCCTAGGTGCTATGATAATACAAATAATAATAAATAGGTTGTCTTAAAAATCAAGAGATTTTAAAAAATACTGATCTGTTTTTGTTCTTTCTTAATTCTTTTAAACGTGTAGAGTGTGGCCCTACCCACAATTTGTGTATGCTAATTGCAGTTTGAATTTTTAATCTGAAAGGTATATGCACAATTGCAGGGGTTCTTCCTTTTCCCCCTGCCCTCACCCGCTTGGCAGGGAACTCCACTTTTATCCTATTCTAGCCTCTGGGATGAGGAATTGAGATTCTTGTAAATTTTAAAAATCATTTATATAGCATCATAAATTAAGGTTTTTATGTTTTTCTTGTTTAGGAAACTGTAGTTATATATTGGTATCTTGGAAGGCAGACTAGAAATCACAAATATCATATAGTTTTTGTTGCAGGTATTTGAGCATTCTTGGAATCTTGAGTTCTTCTTTCAATGTGTCAGTGTCGATCCTGCTGTAGGTGTGCATGTGCCTCATGCACGTGAGCTTGGACTCTTTTTTTTGAATAGCAGTGTCTGTCAGGGCTTCTTATGTGCCCTGTGTGAGGGCATAAAGGACGGAGTGGCCGCAACTCTTTCAGTTCCCTCTTACCACTTGTGGCAGCAAGACAGAATTTGGACTGTCTGACCCAATTCTAATTCATGAAGAAATCTTTTTACCCCTTATTGAGATTTTTTTAGTTGGGCATTCTTCCACCCTCCTCTCCCCACATCCCCCAAAAGGAAGTGAATAAGCAAGGTGAGACCCTCCTCCCCACCCCACCCCCCGCACATTCAGATATACCAGGGTGAAATACTTTTCACCAACCATTGGTAATGGCAGATTCTAAACCAACAGGGTTTAAATGCTGTACTTCTTGCAATGATCTGATGCCCTTAATTGGTGGACACAGCAGATGCCTCTTCTGCCTTGGGGAAGGTAATATCCCTAACAAATTTCATATGCCTTTCCTTCTCATCCCACACTGGAAAATCTTGAGATACAAGACTCAAACTACACTTCTTGAAGCAATCAATGAAGTTGCATTCGATCCAGGCATTGAAACAGTCTCCTCAGCTCTGGTTTGGAGGACATCTTCGCAAGTGCCCACATCTTTGATTCCAGAAGGGAGAAGAAATCTAAAAGGGTTCCAAGATGATCAACATTGGGGCTGGGTTTCCTGATGCTGACCACATTGACACCAACACCCGGGGATAGAGATCTGACAAGTAAAGTACCCACACTGAGTGCAAACACAACTCAGAGTGGTCAAACAACAATCCTGCAAGGACTTGAGGCCAAGAGATGAGTGCTCAACCGTCTATGATGTTGAAGGCAAAGTCAGATGAGAAGGCTTGAGCGACTGTCACACTGGTATAAATATTGAGAGCAAGATCCAACCCAATACAGACTCTGGCACTGACCAGCAAGCCCTCTGACTACTCAGGTATGCCTTCAAGGAGACACCACCACCCTCCTCTTTGCACTGGCACCAGCACCAGCAATATCAGTGCTAGAATCCCGGCTAGTGACACTGCCATCCCCAGAGATACACTTTTCCTCACTGTCTCTGGGCCACTCTGAGTCCCCTGCTACAAGCAGGGAACCCTCTTCCAAGAGACAGGAGTGGTGCCCTAAAGAGAATGATTTTGAGGGCAGTGCTGAAGTCTTAGGTGTTTACACTCCAGTACCATCCTGTATGTTCTTCTGGTACCAGCCCCCTTAAAGACACAGTACCATCTTAATCTTCTTTGGCATACATCAAACTTCCTCCCAAAGGCAGGTTTGACAAGACGGTTGAGAGCCACCCCAAAACCATCCCAGAGTTGACCTTTGGAAGCCACCTTGCCCCTTTTCTATTGAGTGTGACTGGAGATTATGGCCGACACAGGAGTGCTGGACATCATCACCCATTCCCCATCCCTCTTCTGGAACTCGTCTCGCAGGAGCCTGTTACAAAAAGTGGCCTCATTGCTTCATCTAGGAGCCGTAGAAGAGGTTCTGCAGAAGTTCAGAGGGAGAAGCTTCTATTCCTGGTATTTCCTTACTCCAAAGAAGAGAGGGGATCTTCATCCTATCATAGACCTGAGGAAACTGACAGATGCATACACTGCCTGAGATTCAGGATGGTAACACTTGCCTCCATTATCCAGTCACTGCAGGCTCAGGAGTAGTTAATGGCTCTTGACTTACAGAATGCATACTTCCACACTGCCATCCACCTGGCCCGCAGGAAGTACCTGAGATTTACGGTGGGGCCAAGCCATTATCAGTACAAGGTACTGCCCTTTGGAGACTCTGCGGCACCGAGAGTCTTTACAAAAGTACCTCATTGTACGTGCACTCCTAAGGAAAAAAATTATCCATGTATATCCGTATCTAGATGACTAGCTGATCAGAAGCAGGAAGTTCTCTGACAAACCTCAACTACGTGCTACCTCTTTTGCCAGCTCGGCCTCCTGGCAAACTACAAGAAATCATCTCATGATTGAATTCATATGGGCCAGGATAGATTCCATGATGGTGAGGGCATGCTTACCTTAGGACTGAATCCTCTCACTTGAGTTGTTAATAAACATGGTGGTATTGCACCTGGTTGTAACAGTATGGCCTTGCCTCGCATTAGGCCATATGTCTGCATGTACATATGGGACACCGCTTGCCAGACTTCATCTCACGCCTCTTACCACTCTGGCTCAGGTCAGTGTACTCCCCTGTGAAGCATCAGATAAGCAAGAGCTTCAATTCTATCTCGTGTCCTTGCAGTGCTGATCTGGTACCTGCATCCCAACAGTGTTTAAAAATGGGGTACTGTCTGTGACCCATCACCATCCAGACCATTAATCATAGAAGCATGTGGAACAGGCTGAGAAGCCCACCTGAATCATCTGCAAATACAAGAGATGTGGTCCTCCGAGGATGTAAAATGACACATACATGAGGGGGTGCCTGCTCTGAAGCAATAACTGCCACAAAGCAATAACTCTGGAACTGGTGCTACCTGCATGACATAACCACTAGCCGTGCATCTCTTGGGAGTCAACATGACTTGACAGATTTTCTAAGTAGACAGTCTCTCACAAGCCATGAGTGGGCACTGCTGAAATCCATCACCTACTTGATATTCCTCCAGTTATAGACCTGTTTGCCACCAAGGACAACATCAGTTGCCCAGACTTCTGTTCCACGGGAGACATGAGCCTGGGATGCTTGCCAGACACCCATCTGCATTGAAGTTGGGACATCCTTTATGCCTTCCTACTGATTCTCCTAATCTCCAGGTTGATTGCCACAGGCAGATGAGACTAGGCCAGACTTATTCTCATATCTTGTTACTGGCTGAGACATTTCTGACTGATGGACCTGTAGCAGATGTTCACGCATCCACTGATCAGGCTCCCAGATTGCTCGGACCTGTTTTTTCAAGATCAGGGTCAAGAATTGCACCCAGAACTGAAATTGTTGCCAAGTTGGCATGGATGTTGGCTGGCTGAGCACCTGGAAAGAACTGCTCCTCACATGTTCAGGAAATCCTAGTACAAAGCAGAACTGTTCATGAGACATATTCCTTCAAATGGAAGAGACTCACGGCAGCCAAACATGGCCTAGACTCACTGCAGCCACCCCGGTATTGAGGATTCTGGACTATTTGCTGTAACTAACACTCTGGGCTTCCATTTAGTTCAGTCAAGGTTCATGTAGCAGCAATATCTTCCTCTAATAGTCATTCTCAGTCCTCTTTCATCCAACAGTATTCCGATTCCTTAAGGGTTTACTACATGCATATTCATTATTTAGAGTATCTACTGTAGCATGGGAAATTGACATCATCTTTCTAAAGCTTACTGAAACCCCTTCAAGCCCCCCTTGGGGCGCTCCATTTATTATCTTACACTCTAAATAGTCTTTCTAGTGGTTGTCACATCAGACAGAAGAATGAGCAAGCTTCAGGCACTTGTGGTAGAGCCCCCATGCACTTTGTTTCAACAAACAAGGTTGTACTGAGACCTCTTGCAAAATTTATCCCCAAAGTGATTTCTAAGTTCCACTTAAACCAGTCAGTCAACTTACTTGTGTTCTTCCGAAAGCCAGATTCCATACAAGCGGAGAAGAAACGCCACATCCTAGAAATATCCCGAGCTCTTCAATACTGCATCAACAGGACCAAATCTTTCAACTCTCCCAACGTCTACTTGTGGCTATTGTTGCTCCAAAGGGTCAGGCCATTGTGTCACAAAGACTTACAAAACGGGTAAGTCGTGTCTCACAGTACTACCAGTTAGCTGCTGTACCTCTCCCACCAACTACTAAAGCCCTTTCCACCAGCACCCATGCAGTATCCTTGGCTTGTTTCCAAAAGATACAGATATCAGGAATTTTCAAGGCTATTACGTGGAGCAATACACTCACATTTGTCAAGCATTTTACACTGGACTTAGCTACTAGGTCAGATTCCAGATTTGGAAGAGCGGTACTCCAATTTCCGTGCAACTGATTCTGCTGATGCTCTTCATTCCAACCATCCGGGGACAATATCACTTGCCAGTTACCTACAGTGGGATCCATACTGACCTATACTATTGTGGTTCTTTGAGATGTGGTAATGTGTCGATCCTGCAAACTGCCCTCCATCCCCCCTTTAGGAGTTTTGGCTTTCAAGGGAGGGTTGCGGCCGCTCTGCAATTTATGCCCTTATACAGGAGCATGAGAAAGCACAGGATGCATGTGCAGCCCAAATGGACACTGCTATTCAAAAGATTGTGAGCTCATGCACGTGTGTTGGTGTGCACCGGTAGTGAGAGCCACACTGACTGCAACATCTCAAAAAACTACAGTTAATGCAGGGTAAGTAACTATTCCTTATCTGTTTTTTGTTATCTAACCTTGTTTTGCAGATGTGTTGCTCTTTGCAGCCTTGGCATTTGGATCTGTGAGGAACTGGTTCATGAATCACATCATCCTCAGATAAAGGAAGCCCTGAATGTGATTTGTGTCTCTTTGAAGGTAAGAGACTAGGTGTGCTGCAATCTGTTACAACTTAAATTAAAAATTATTTACATCTTCAAAATCCAATGTGCAAATTAACTAGTTAATCCTCACAACAACTCTGAATTTGGCAAGTATCATTTTACAGATGAGACTGAGATAGTTAAGTGACTTGCCCTACACAGCTCAGTGATGTAGTGTCAAAGGCAGGGTTATATACAGAAGTCCCTGGCTTCCAGTCCTGTGTTCACTCTGAAGCAAAAGAATTAATTCATTTTAAAGGTGAAACTAACATTTTATTACCTGCCAAAGCAAGTCATTGCTTAACATCTAAAGGCCAGGTTGTGTGCTGAAGGGGAGAGCACAAGAAGTATCCCTTCCTTACATACCTGCACAAGTGCCAGTCACATTTCTAGTCCCTGCAGACTGAGCCTCAGGCACTTCTTCCTCATAGTGCAAGCCACCCTAAATGGAGTAGAGGAGGCAGAACAATAGCTGTGTCCCTACTCTTGACCAGTCAGCAACTCTGGCCAGATGTGCAAGGGGGAGTATGCTGCACCATCCTAAGGAATGTGTTACCTGTGCACTTGAGAGCTCCAAGAGGTGGTATGCCTTTCTGGGGGCAAAGTGCCTCTCAGAGCTCACATTGGGGCAGTGCAGCACAGTGTATAATCTGAACCTAAAGTAGGTCACAGCTTTGCACTGTTGTAGTTTATGATGAAATTATCTATAGGAAAGAAATAACAGAACTCTAATTTTGGCAAAAAAGTAAAGGAAGAATTGATTTTACTACTGTCTTACTTTAAAATACATTTGTAAAGTTGTTATTAAGTACATTTTGTTAATGCTGAGGAATGTTAGTTTGTTCACAAAGATTTTCACTTCCCCCTCAATATGATCTGGGTAATTTATAAAATTAAAACTTTTACAATTTTAGGTTGTGTGGATGTTACTTTGTTATAAAAACCTCTAGATTTTCATGTGTTCTGGATAGCCTGGTGGGGTGAAGGATTGTTGTCCATGTGATTGCTATTTTGGCATTTGTACCTTATTTAGACATAGGTGCTATACACACACATTTTGAAAAGCAATATATTCAAATATAGCTAGTAGCAATTGTGGACCAATATCAACACAGTAATACTTGATGGAGATGTATAGTGGAGTCATCTTGTTTTTTCCTTTGGGAGTGGTAGGACCTTCATTATTCTGAAACAGCCTTCAGTTTCTGTGGTGATCATTAAGGCTGTGATTTAGTCACTGGTATTTTTAGTAAAGGTCACGGACAGGTCACAGGCAATAACCAAAAAGTCACGGTCAGTGACATGTCCATGACTTTTACTAAAAATACCCCTAACTAAATCTTAGATGCTGGGGGGAGGGTGGGTGCTGCTCTGGGGCAGCCCGGGACTAGTTGCCTGGGGTCAGCTTCTGCAGCTGCGGAAGTCACGGAAATCCCGGAAAGTCACCGTATCCGTGATCTCCGTGAAAGACTCGCAGCCTTAGTGATGGTATTCTACAGCTTCCTTGACAATCTGGTCCGTTGCCAAACTTGTTCTTCCTTCTTCCCCCCTCAAACATGTAATCTATATTTTTCCCTATGAAAAACTATTACTTTCTATTCTGTCATTTATTGAATAATCAGAATACCTGTCTTCTACCCACTTCATAGCATTTTTATTACCTAAAGATTTTTCAGACTGGTATATTTCTCAACAGCATGCTCTGTTTTCTTAACCTTTCCTAATAAGTCTTATTTTCAAAACCTTTCTTAATTTTCCTTATTTTCACCTGAACTCTCTAGAGATAGTCTTTTTTGGCTGTGATTAAACAGAATGGTGATGCACCTTTGGAGGCTAATCCGTGCCAAGTGGAGCTGAATAGTTACGTTGCTGTTTTCAGCATGGTTCTTTTAGTAATAAACACCATATTGCCGTTGCCTGTTTTGCCACATCACATTTTAGGTGTGACACCTTCTCAGTGACCTGATAGTCTCTCCAAAATTCTATAACTTGTGCATTTGATGATTTCAGCCAATTTCTGTGTGAATTTGATATTAGACAAATGTCACTATTGCTTTTAACTCATCTCTCCAATTTATCAAAGTTGTGCAATATTTTAATCCTGTCATCCAAAATAATTTGTTTTCCCATTTGTTCTCCCAGTCTTTTTATTAACAATTATTTTAAACCAGTATCTTGTAATAACTGTACATATTAAGTATGGACCAATTAGTGCTTGTATTGGAAAACACTGCTTCAAGTTGGCAAAAAGTTTGGAGCATGCCATCTTTTCTCTTACCTTGAACACTGGGGTAAAATATCTGCAAATGTACTGTCTAATATGAAAAGTTCATAAATACAGTTCTTCTTCGAGTGATTGCTCATGTGTATTCCACAGTAGGTGTGCATGCTCACCACGTGCACCGGTGCCGGAAGTTTTTCCCTTAGCAGTACCTGTACAGGGGGAGCACCGCTGCGACCCCTGGAGTGGTGCCTCTATATTGCGCTATAAGGGGAGCTGCGCACTCCCCCCACCCTCAGTTCCTTCTTGCTGCCAGTGAAGTTAGTCGGAACTTCAGGCTCCAGCCTTGCTGAGCTTCTCTAGTTAGCCTTAGTAGTACAGTTGTTCCAATAGTTGAATAGTTTCTCAAGTTAATTGACCGGCTTCAAGTCGTGCAATTCCTGTCGCAGTTCTATGCCCAGAAGCGACCTGCACACTCAGTGTCTCCACTGCTTGGGCGAAACTCATGTAAGTGAGCACTGCAGGATCTGTAGATCATTCAAGCCGCGGACTAAGAAGGAGAGGGACATTAGGCTTTGCGCTCTGCTAATGGAATCAGCGCTGGCCCCGGCACCAGCACGCCGAACGGACTCAGCGCCCGGCACTGCGTCTTCGGTGTGGAGTGAAGTCCCCTCCACTAGCCGGCACTGCTCTCCCTCCAAGAAGCAGGGGAAGACTCAGCGGCGCCGAGAGAAGGAAAGGGGTGAGGCCAGACCTGAGCCAGGCAGCCCGCGATCCCCCTCGGGACCCAGGCCTCCGACTCGCGTTGAGCGGAGCACCCGGTCCCGTCCGCACGTGCCTCCTCTGTGGTGAGGATGCCGTCGACACCGGAGGCCGCACAGGCCGCGTGTGACATCTTAACCCTCCCGGTACCTGGGGGGCTGCCCGGGACGGGCCCCCGGTTTCGAGGGAAGCCGCCACTGGGAGCACCACAGACCTCCCCAACGCGGCACAGTCCCCGCTCCAAGGACCGTTTGCTGCCTCGCTCGACACACTCTTCCCGCAGCTCGCGCCAGCCCTCTACTCCACTTAGGCTGACCGGCTCACCGCCCACACGGGAGCCTCGGGGCTCCTCCACACCTCGCGACCGGGGACACAGGCACCAGGACAAGCTCCGCCGACGCTCTTCCTCGCATCGTAGCTACCGTAGCCGATCCCAACGCCACCAACATCGATGCTCCAACTCGAGTTCCCGCTCTACCACACATTGCGCTCGGGACTCCTCTTGCGATTCACCGGCACCGGAGCGTTGTAGCTCCGGCCGCCGGGAGCAACATCTCGGACAGGTACCGATCCTCATCGTCGAGGTCCCAGTCGCGCGGAAGGCACCGTCACAGACACCATCGCTCTTGCTGCTCCTACGGTACCGTACGGTCGACAGTGACCTCAGCATCGGCACCCAGCCGCCCATCTCCAAGTCGTGCGGCTCAGCGAGAACAAACTGCGCCGCCCGGCCACCAAGTCGGTCAGTGGCACAGGACACCGTGGCAAAGACAGTGGTGTAAATGGGCACCGTGGCCGCAGATGCCCGCCCAGGCCAGATCTCACTCAGTGGCCAGAATGTCCCAGGCTCCTTCGGCCTCCCCTCCTCAGCAGAGGGAAAAGTCAACGGGTCTCGAGCTGACAGCACCGCGCCCAGACTCTGACCTGGGGATCGACCCACCAGTACCGCCCGACGCCCTAGGCTCCGTGCCGGTCCCCTCGCCGGCACTGGAGGATGCCATAGCGGCACCGCCGCCCATCCCACAGGAGGACTTCAAGGCTCATCAAGAGCTCCTTAAGCAGGTGGCGTCCAGTCTCCAGTTCCGGGCTCAGGAGATGGAGGAGCCATCTGACTCTCTTTTTAATGTGCTCTCGTCCTCAGCACCGGGCCGTGTGGCCCTGCCTCTCCACCAGAGGGTAGCCAACATCTCGACTACCCTGTGGCAAACCCCAGCTTCTTTGGCCCCCATCTCCAAGAAAGCGGAGAGGAAATACTTCGTGCCGGCTAAGGACCACGAGTACCTGTATTCCCACCCGGCACCTAACTCCCTGGTGGTGGAATCGGTGAACCACCGGGAATGTCATGGTCAGCCCATGCCCACCCCCAAAGACAAGGATGCCAGGAGACTGGATACGTTTGGCAGGAAGGTTTATTCCTTGGCGAGTTTCCAGTCAGGGTTGGCCAACCATCAAGCCCCACTGAGTTGGTATGACTTCAACTTATGGGGGGTCCCTACCAAAGTTTGAACCTCTCCTCCCGGAGCGGGACAAAAAGGAGTTCAGGGCTCGGAACAAACAGATGTCCGCCTGCATGGGATGAAAGATTCCCGCACCACCCTGCAAACCTTGGGCCTGTACATCCCTCCGGCGAAGGACGAGCCCAGGCCGCAAACTTCGGCTCCTCCTGCTAGGAGCATATACAAGCCCCCGCCCAAGAGACCAAGGGAACAGAGGCATAGGTCCCAACGTCAGTCCCGCTCGGCCCGGCGGCCAGGCCCCTCGAAGGGTAAAAGGCAGGAAAAGAGGCGGTTTTGACTCTTTGCAGGGGGCCACCAGGCCTGTTGCCAGGGAAACCCCCCAGTTGTTAAAGTTTGTGTTCTGCAACTGCTTGTCTGCCTTCCAAGTGGAATGGTCCTGTATAATGTCTGACCAATGGGTCCTCAACACCATCTCCAAGGGCTACATGTTGCAGTTCACCTCACCCCCCCACCACCACCACCACCCTCTGCCCCGGGCGAGCCTCGGGGACCCAG